TTTTCCTTTTCATTCCTTTTCATCCCTTTTCATTCTTTTCATTCCTTTTCATTCCTTTTTTCTTTTCCTTTTTTCCTTTTCATTCCTTTTCATTCCTTTTCATTCCTTTTTCATTCTTTTTTTCTTTCTTTTTCATTCCTTTTCATTCCTTTTCATTCCTTTTCATTCCTTTTTTCTTTTTCATTCTTTTCATTCCTTTTCATTTCCTTTTCTTTCCTTTTTTCTTTTCTTTTCATTCCCTTTTCATCCTTTTCATCCCTTTTCATTTCTTTTCATTTCCTTTTTTCCTTCATTTCCTTTTTCCTTTTTTTCCCTTTTTCATTCCTTTTCATTCCTTTTCATTTTTTCATTTCCTTTTTCATTCTTTTCTTTTCTTTCCTTTTCATTCCTTTTCTTTCCTTTTTTTCCTTTTCATTTTTTTCATTCCTTTTTTCCTTTTCATTTTTTTTCCTTTTCATTCCTTTTCATTTCCTTTTCATTCCTTTTTTCCTTTTTTTCCTTTTTTTTTTCTTTCTTCTTTCATCCTTTTCATTCCTTTTTTTCTTTTCATCCCTTTTCATCCTTTTTCATTTTTCATTCCTTTTCATTCCTTTTCATTCATTTTTTTTCATTCTTTTCATTCCTTTTCATTCCTTTTTTTTTTTTTTTTTCATCCTTTTCATTTTTCATTCCTTTTTCTTTTTTTCCTTTTTTCTTTTCATTCTTTTTTTTTTTTCATTTTTTCATTCCTTTTCATTTCCTTTTCATTCTTTCATTCTTTTTCCTTTTTTCCTTTTCATTCTTTTCATTCCTTTTCATTCCTTTTCATTTTTTCATTCCTTTTCATTCCTTTTCATCCCTTTTCATTCCTTTTCATTCCTTTTCATTTCTTTTAATTCCTTTTCATCCCTTTTATTCCTTTTCATTCCTTTTCATCCCATTTTTTCATTCCTTTTCATCCCTTTTTCATTCCTTTTCATTCCTTTTCATTCCTTTTCATCCTTTTTTCATTTTTTTATTCCTTTTCATTTTTTCATTCCTTTTCATTTTTTTCATTCCTTTTCATTCTTTTTTTTTTTCCTTTTCATCCTTTTTTCTTTTCATTCCTTTTCATCCTTTTTTCCTTTTCATTTTTTTTTCCTTTTCATTCCTTTTCATTCCTTTTCATTCCTTTTCATTCCTTTTCATCCTTTTCATTTCCTTTTCATTTTTTTCATTCCTTTTCATTCCTTTTCATTTTTTCATCCTTTTCATCCTTTTCATCCTTTTTTCATTCTTTTTATTCCTTTTCATCCTTTTCATTCTTTTTCATTCCTTTTTTTTTTCCTTTTCATCCTTTTCATTCCTTTTCATCCTTTTTTCCTTTTCCTTTTCATTCCTTTTCATTCCTTTTCATTTTTTCATTCCTTTTCATTCTTTTTCATTCCTTTTCATTCCTTTTATTCCTTTTCATTCTTTTTCATCCCTTTTTTCATCCTTTTTCATTCTTTTTTCATTCCTTTTCATTTCCTTTTCCTTTTCATTCCTTTTCATCCTTTTCATTCCTTTTTTCCTTTTCATTTTTTCATTTTTTTCATTCCTTTTTCTTTTTTCCTTTTTTTCCTTTTCATTCCTTTTTTCCTTTTTCCTTTTTTCCTTTTTTTTTCCTTTTCATTTTTTTCATTTCCTTTTCATTTTCCTTTTCATTTTTTTTCATTCCTTTTCATTCCTTTTCATTCCTTTCATCCTTTTCATTTTTTTCATTCCTTTTCATCCCTTTTCATTCCTTTTTCTTTTCCTTTTTTCCTTTTTTCCTTTCTTTTCATTCCTTTTTTTCCTTTTCATTCCTTTTTCCTTTTCATCCTTTTTTCCTTTTTCTTCCTTTTCATCCTTTTTCATTCTTTTTTCCTTTTCATTCCTTTTTCATTTCCTTTTCATTCCTTTTCATTCCTTTTCATTCCTTTTCATTTTTTTCCTTTTCTTCCTTTTCATTCCTTTTTTCCTTTTTTTCCTTTTTTTTCATTCCTTTTCATTTTTCATTCCTTTTCATTCCTTTTTTTCCTTTTCATTCCTTTTCATTCCTTTTCATTCCTTTTTTCTTTTTCATTTTTCATTCCTTTTCCTTTTTTCCTTTTTATTCCTTTTCATTCCTTTTCATTCATTCCTTTTTTCATTCCTTTTTTCATTCCTTTTTTCCTTTTCATTCCTTTTCATCCCTTTCATTTCCTTTTTTCTTTTCATCCTTTTTATTTCCTTTTCATTCCTTTTTTTCCTTTTCATTCCTTTTCATTCCTTTTCATTCCTTTTCATTCCTTTTTATTCTTTTCATTTTTTCCTTTTCATTCCTTTTTCATTCCTTTTTTCCTTTTTTCATTCCTTTTCATTCCTTTTATTTTTTTTTCCTTTTCATTCCTTTTCATTCCTTTTCATTCCTTTTCATCCTTTTCATTCTTTTTTCCTTTTCATTCCTTTTCATTCCTTTTCATTCCTTTTTTCCCTTTTTCATTCCTTTTCATTCCTTTTCATCTTTTTTTCATTTCCTTTTTCTTTTCATTCCTTTTCATTCCTTTTCATTCCTTTTTTTTTTTTTTTTCATTCCTTTTTTTTTTTCCTTTTTCATTCCTTTTCATCCTTTTTCATTCCTTTTTTTTCATTTTTTTTCATTCTTTTTCATTCCTTTTCATTCCTTTTCATTCCTTTTCATTCCTTTTCATCCTTTTCATTTTTCATTCCCTTTTCATTCCTTTTCCTTTTCTTTTTTCATTCCTTTTCATTCCTTTTTCATTCCTTTTCATTCTTTTCATTCCTTTTTTTCCTTTTCATCCTTTTTTTTCATTCCTTTTTTCCTTTTCATTCCTTTTTTTTCCTTTTCATTTTTTCATTCCTTTTCATCCCTTTTTCATTCTTTTCATTCTTTTCATTCCTTTTTTTTTTTTCATTCCTTTTTCATTTTTTTCATCTTTTTTTTTTTTTTTTTTTTTCCTTTTCATTCCTTTTCCTTTCATTTTTCATCCCTTTTCATTCCTTTTCATTCCTTTTCATCCTTTTTCTTTCCTTTTTTTTCCCTTTTCATTTCTTTTCATTTCTTTTCATCCCTTTTTTTTCATTTTTTCATTCCTTTTCATTCCTTTTCATTTCCTTTTCATTCTTTTTCATTCCTTTTTTTTCTTTTCATCCTTTTCATTTCCTTTTCCTTTTTCATTCCTTTTTTTTCCTTTTCATTCCTTTTCATTCCTTTTCATTCCTTTTCATTCCTTTTCATCCCTTTTCATTTCCTTTTCATTCCTTTTCATTCCTTTTCATTCCTTTTCATTCCTTTTTCATTCCTTTTCATTCTTTTTTCATTCCTTTTCATTCCTTTTCATTCCTTTTTCATTTTCCCCTTTTCATTCTTTTTTTTTTTTCCTTTTTCATTCCTTTTTTTTTTCCTTTTCATTTTTTTTCCTTTTCATCCCTTTTTTCCTTTCTTTCCTTTTTTTCCCTTTTCATTCCTTTTTCCCTTTTCATTCCTTTTTTTTTCCTTTTCATTCCTTTTCATTCCTTTTTTTCTTTTCATTCCTTTTTTTTTTTTTCATTCCTTTTCATCCCTTTTCATTTCTTTTTTCCTTTTTCATTCTTTTTCATTTTTTTTCATCCCTTTTCATTTTTTCATTCCTTTTTTCTTTTCATTCTTTTCTTTTCCTTTTCATTCTTTTCATTTTTTCATTCCTTTTTTTCCTTTTCATTTTTTTCATCCTTTTTTTCCTTTTCATTCTTTTCATTTTTTCATTCCTTTTCATTCTTTTTTTTCATTCCTTTTCATTCCTTTTCATTCCTTTTTTCTTTCCTTTTTCTTTTCATTCTTTTTTCCTTTTCATTCCTTTTTCATTTCTTTTTCATTCCTTTTCATCCCTTTTCATTCCTTTTTTCTTTCATCCTTCCTTTTCCTTTTTTTTTTTTTCATTTCTCCTTTTATTCCTTTTCATTCCTTTTCATTCCTTTTCATTTCTTTTCATTCCTTTTTCATTCCTTTTCATTCCTTTTTTCCTTTTCATTTTCTTTTATTCCTTTTCATCCCTTTTCATTCCTTTTTTTTTTCTTTTCATTCCTTTTCATCCCTTTTTCATTCTTCCTCCCTTTTCATTCCTTTTCATTCCTTTTCATTTCTTTTCCTTCCTTTTTCTTCCTCCTTTTCTTTCCTTTTCATTCCTTTTCATTCCTTTTTTCATTCCTTTTCATTCCTTTTCATTCCTTTTTCCTTTTTCTTTTTCTTTTCATTTTTTCATTTTTCATTTTTTTCTTTCTTTTTCATTCCTTTTCATTCCTTTTTCATTCCTTTTATTCCCTTTTCCTTTTCATCCTTTTCATTCCTTTTATTTATTTTCATTCCTTTTTTTCTTTTTCCTTTCATTCCTTTCATCTCCTTTTTTTTTCATTTTTTTCCCTTTTTTTCTTTTTCATTTCTTTTCATTCCTTTTTTCCTTTCCTTTTTTTCTTTTTATTCCTTTTCATTCCTTTTCATTCTTTTTTTTCCTTTTTTCCTTTTCATTTTTTCATTCCTTTTTCATTCCTTTTTCTTTCTTTTCATTCCTTTTCATTTTTTCATTCCTTTTTCTTTTTCCTTTTCTTTCTTTTTCATTTTCATTCCTTTCTTTTCTTTCTTTTCATTTTTCATTTTTTTTCCTCCCTTTTCATTCCTTTCTTTCTTTGCCGATTTTCATTTCTTTCTTTCTTTCTTTTCATTCCTTTTTTCATTACTTTTTTCCTTTTCATTTCTTTTCTTTCTTTTTCATTTTTCATTTCTTTTCTTTCTTTTTCTTTTCATTCCTTTTTTCTTCTTTTCATCCCTTTCTTTGTCTTTTCATTTCTTTTTTCTTTTTTTCATTCTTTTTTTCCTTTTTTTCTTTTCATTCTTTTATTTCTTTTCATTTTCATTTTTTCATTTCTTTTCTTTTCATTTTTTTTTTTTCATTCCTTTTCATTTCTTTTCATTCTTATTCCTTTTCACGACCTTTTCATAAACTTTTCTTCCTTACTGCCTCCCCATTACGTTCTTACTGCCTCCTCACGTTCACCGAAGTTAAGCAATGTCGAGCCTGATCAGTCCTTGAATGGGAGACCACTTGGGAATACCAGGTGCTGTAACTTAGATGTGCGGGTAATATGGTTTACGGCCACATCACTTTGAAACACCGGTTCCCGTACAATCATCGAAGTTAAGCAACGTCGAGCCTGTTCAGTGCCTAGATGGGAATAACAGGTGCTGTGAGGATGGTGTAATGACTCATGGCTCGGAATTGGAAAATTGAAGAGCCGAGTTCCAATTCCCGTTAAGTCCATTTTATTCACTTTTGCGCAATTGCTCTTGAGAAAGGTATGAATCAACCTCTTCTTCCCCTCAAGTAAAGGTTAATTAGTAAAGACTTACATCACTAAATCATTATTCTCTCAAAAAAATTCTTACAATCTAAAAATATTTTCTTGGCTTTAAATAACCTGCATTGAGTTGATTAGCCGTAGAAGAACCAATCAATCAAGGAAATACTGATTGGCTACACAGGCATGTCTTTTAGATTTATCTCTGGAATATAAATGTATACAAACTATCATGGCCACAAAGTGAGAGATCAGTTTATGTACTGATTGTAATATAGGATTGATCTCCCACTTTATATCCACATTATAATTCCTTGTAGGCATCTTTTTTAGATTTATTTAATTCTCTGGAAAGTAAGTGTATAGAAACTCATGGCCACAAAGTGGGGAATCAGTTTATGTACTGGTTGTAATATAGAATTGATCCCCCACTTTATATCCACATTAAAATTCTTTGTAAGCATGTCGTTTAGATTTATTTACATTCTCTGGAATATAAATGTATAGAAACTATTGTGGCCACAAAGTGAGGGATCAGTCTATATATTGATTCTTATGTGAAATTGATAATGTCTACATTATAATTTCTTGTTTGTTTATCAGTTTCTGATTAGATATGAATCCAGCCCTTTTTTCTTATTATGGATTAATAATAAGACTTTTATCACTAAATCTTTATTATTTACCCTGCACCCCCTCTACGCCAAATTGTTAGATTTTCTATCTTTAAATAACCTGCAAATGTTTGACAAAGTCGTCAAATAATTTTCAATTAATCTATTTATTTTTTTCTTTGTTCAAAATGTTTTTATTTCTTTCTTTCTTTATTTCTTTCTATATGTTTTTTTTTATTTCTTTCTTTCCATGAATGTCTTCAGATTTTCTCGCTTTCAGTTTTTCTACTCTTCATTTCTTTTCCTTCTTTCTTAACCTATTTTCATTTCTTTCTTTTTTCCCTTTGTTTTGCTATATTTTCTGATTTCTTTTCTTTCTTTCTTTCTTTCTTTTTTTCTTTTTTCTTTCTATTCGTTCTGTCTTTTTTCCCATTGTGTTGTTATATTTTTCTAATTTCTTTTCTTTCTTTTCTTTCTTTGATTCGTTCTTTCTTTTCGTTCTATCTTTTTTCTTTCTTTCGTTCTTTCTTTTTTTTTCTTTGTTTTCCTATATTTTCTGATTTCTTTTCTTTCTTTGTTTTTTCTTTCTCTTCTTTCTTTTTCTTTCTTTATTTCCATCTTTCTTTTCGTTCTATCTTTCTTTCTTTCGTTTTTCTTTCTTTCTTTTTCTCATTGTTTTGTTAGATTTTCTAATTTCTTTTCTTTCTTTTTTCTTTCTTTCTTTTCCTTCTATCTTTCTTTTCTTTCTTTCGTTCTTTCTTTCTTTCTTTCCTCTTTGTTTTGCTACATTTTCTAATTACTTTTCTTTCTTTTTTCATCCTTTCTTTCTTTTCCTTCTTTCTTTCTTTCTTTCTTTCTTTTTAATTTGTTGCTTTTCATTCATGTTTATATTTTCATCTCCTCTTTCGCTTTTCTCTCTCAATCTCACTCTCTCTCTCTATCTATCTATCTTTCTCTCTCTCTCTCTCTCTATATATATATATATATATATATATATATATATCCTCACTTTTCTTTGGACACCCATAGAACATTATTCCCCTTTCCATCGAACGTGCCGAGAATCCCATTCAAATTTGAATTCCGCCATCTTTTATTTATTTACCATTTCTCCCGCCTTTATTTATTTCCATTTCTTTCTTTGGTCGCCATTATCTATGGCGACGATATATTTTGTCATTCCTTGAAACAAGTTTCCAAATATACGTTACGGACAATTCGGTTTTTAACTTTATTCTCTTCTTGGTTTATTTAGGTGTACTTTATTTTTAGGCGGGCATTATTTATTTATTACATTTCTCCCAGGTACAAGGCCAGCAAAGATAGGGCACTGTTTCTTGTGAAAACCTTACAAGGAAAAAAGAGCAACACATGTAAAGGAATTGAGAATGCAGCGACAAAAATCGAAATTTCTTTCATTCTAACAAAAACAAAGTCAAAAAGACACAAAGAAAAGATACATCTTTTTTTTCCCGTTCTGGAGTCAAAACATTATGAAAGTGTTAAATAGCTTTTAATACATGCAATATTTTTTGTATCTGTCTATATTTCTGAGATAAGGTATTATGTACACTAATTACATTATTCGAACTATTGTCGTCATCTTTGTCGCCATATTTATCACCCTTCAGTATCTGTCTATATTTCTGAGATGAGGTATTATGTACACTAATTACATTATTCGAACTATTGTCGTCATCTTTGTCGCCATATTTATCACCCTTCAGTATCTGTCTATATTTCTGAGATGAGGTATTATGTACACTATTTACATTATTCGGACTATTGTCCTCATCTTTATTGCCATATTTATCACCCTTCAGTATTTGCCTATATTTCTGAGATGAGATGTTATGTACACTATTTACATTATTCAGACTATTGTCCTCGTCTTTGTCGCCATATTTATTACAACGTTTCGTCCGTTGTACGCGCCGCCCTTCTTCAGGTGGTTGGAATGTCGAACTGCACCCTTTATTTTGCTCACTGGGGTAGACTGTTCTAGTTCCACATGCCATGTTTAATGGATGTCAAGGACACATGGCACAGTGGATAAAGGCGTTGGTTAGATCCAGTGACAGGACCCAAAGAGTGTGAGTTCAATACCCGGGCAAGGCAGTGGAGAACTTGGAGAGGGGAATTAACAGGAGATAACTAATAACTGTTAATCCCTGATGATTGGCTCTACATAATCACAAATAAAGAACTGCACCAGATAGGAGAAACCACATCGTTTGAAGAGTTTCGTCAACAACAACAACAACTAAAATGGATTGCGCATATAATTCGATGTGAGAAAAAATAACATAATTAAGATTCTGATATTCCACACAACCTCAAACAAAAAGCAAGGAAGGAAACTCCCAGAATTAATGGAAATAGCGTTAACAGCTACTAGACTTGAGAAGTTAATTTTCCTGGAAAATTGTTTTAAGTAAAGTTTATATAAATTGTGGTTAACTGAATCAAAACGCTCATCAGGGTCAGATTTTTGAAAACCAGATAAATTATTTTCTTAATTTACTGAATTCAACTTCTCTCACTCACTGTGTGTTTATCTAAAAATAAATACGCGTAAATTGAACTTCACCGCTGGCGTATGCGAACGGCTTCGTGGTAGAATCGCCAACTGATGGCCAATTCAGTCGGTTTTCGATCCTACGCAACCGGGTATCTAGCCACAATGATGAGCTGGGAAACAGTCTGTATGTGGATGACTATATATGTATCTTTTGAACAATGAAAATTTTCAAAAATTAAACTGGGTTGTATGTTAATATTTTTTGTTTTATTATTTCAATTAGATTCCTTGACTAGTTTCGGTCAGCATGGCCATCATCAGGAAAGAAAAAAACAGCTTGTTAGTAGCAGTGACCTACAAGAGTGAATGACTACAGGAGTGAATGACTGTAGTTGAAGAAAGTGAAGTCTATCTGTAGTTTTTATTTATTGATTTTTTTTTTTTTTTTTGTCGTTACTTTTGCTCAGTTCTTGTATAGGTTCAACGGCCTCTTTCAAGTTGATTCCTGAGTATCAGAATATATATATATATATATATATATATATATATATATATATATATATATATATATATATATAATATATATATATATTCAGTAAATTACGTCAAGTAATTAATTTACTGAATATGCATATATATTCAGTAAATTGAGACAAGTTAAAACAATTAATTTACTGAATAGATAGATAGATAGATAGATGAATAGATAGATAGATAATGAACAGACTGTGATAGATAGATGATGAATAGATAGATAGATGAATGATAGATAGATGATAGATGAATGAATGAATGAATATTCAGTAAATTAAGTCAAGTAATTAATTTACTGGATAAATATATATATATATATATATATATATATATATATATATATATATATATATATATATATATATATAGATAGATGGATAGATAGATAGATAGATGGATGCATATATGTATATATGCGTGTGTGTGTGTGTACAAGTTTTGTCTATCAATTTTTAATTAAATCTTTCAAATTTTCGAACTGTTTTATGTTATCGGTAAATTTATCAAAATTCATTGCGCTAAAATTATTTTCTTTTCTCTTCGGACACATTGTTTTACAAGAATTTAACAATTTAAAACAAACTCCCACCAACAATAATTTCCAAACCTCTGTTGTTGCTGAAAAGGTAAGATTAGCTTTAAAAGAATTTAAAAAAAAAAAAACTTTATAAGGAACTTGATATCCACAAGAATAAAGACCCTATTGAATATTTTATTGTAACCAGATTCATCGTAATTAAAAATAAAAGGAAAAGACGATTAAATTTATAGATCCAAGCAATTACCTTAGATTTATTGTCTATTATTGAAAAAATTCTAATTCATAGAAATAATTGAATAAATTCAAAATAAATTAATTTTATTTAAATAAATAATGCACGAAAAATATGTTGCGAAAATAATATCCCATAATGCATTTTGCCTCTACGTCTTCTTTAAATGGATAACTAAAAATATGTGTTTGTGTATCTTATATTATTTTCTCCAAGATGGCAGTACTTGAGACTGAAAAGAGAAACAAAATAAGAAACTTTTCAGGGATGTTTCTCCAAATGCCAATAATTTATGACTCTCTCGGGGCTACATAGCCAAATTTCTTG